GGGATCTTGTGGCTGCCTACAACCTTATCAGGGGCCAGCAGCAGGGACTTGGGGAAAGTCTGTTCACCAGGGCCCCCCTTGGAGTCACCAGGAACAATGGCCACAAGCTGAGGGAGGATAGGTTTAGGTTAGGTATTAGGAAGAACTACTTCACTGTAAAGGTGGCCAGAGCCTGGAATAGGCTTTCCAAAGAGGTGGTGCTCTCACCTTCCCTGGAAATCTTCAAGAGGAGACTGGATAGGCACCTGGCTGGGGTCTTATGACCCCTGCCACCCCCACTGCTCATTCCTGCCCATGGCAGGGTGTCGGACTAGATGATCTGTCTAGGTCCCTTCCGACTCATTGAGTCTATGATTCTATGACTCAGTGCCAGGATGTGGGCACTCACAGCCTTCCAGCCCTATGCATCTGGGGAGGGCTCCTGGTCCATGTGGGTGGGGAGATAGTAGGACAGGACTTCATGGATCTGGACAGCCTGCTGTGGTACAGGGCTGGGGCCACACACACTGGTGGAAGGCTTGCCCTCTCCCCCATCCCTGTGCTGCGAGTGCCCAGTTCATAGTCAAAGTGCTCCCCTTGGTGGTCCGGCTATCATCCATAGGGCTTCATGAGCCAGGGCAGGAGGGGTAAGCTTGGCCCCCATCCTGGGGAACAGGGATTTGTGTAACAGGCAGCAATTGTCTTTATGGGCCTCATGAAAGTCGGTGGCCCAGTCATGTTTCAGATACCTAAGTTTTCTCTGTGTGTGTACAGGGTGCGTACACAAACACACACACACACTGAACCCAGGTGTCTCGGACACACACATACACACCCACCTACACAAAAATAGAATCCAAACATCCTGACCGCTCACACATGCACAGAAACCCCAGGCATCCGACACACACACACACACACACACACACACACACAACCCACGCATCTGGGGCATGCACACACACGGTGGGTGTAAGGTGCACTGGATGATCATGAGTGGGATGGCTGGCTGCTGGCTCATGGCCATGAGTGCATATGCCATAACAAGCTGCTGTCACATAAGGTTCAGGTGGGCAGCTGTGATATCCCACAGTCTCACACAGGGAGACCAACAGGACCTGCCACAGCTCCTCGGTTTCCCTGCTTGCTTGGGTGCACGGGCCAGGAAACAAAGGCACGTACAAATTACAGTGGTAGGGAGTTGGGGGCATGGTGGCCCATGCCCAGCAGCTAGTCAGGTGTGGGTTGGCCATTCAGCTTTGCATAGGAGTCTTCAGCAGCCCAGGAAGCCCACTGAGTGCACTGAGAGGCATGTGAGTGCCCTGCTACCTGCTGGGCTTGGGCCATGCAGGCAGGCTGTGAGCTCCCCCTCCTCCCAAGGGCTAAAGTGTGTTCTGCTTGCTCCTAACCGAACCTTGGGCACTTAGAGTAAAGCTCGGAGGTTAGAGCACGTTCACCTCAGCCTTCTTGAACACCTGTACTGAGCCTATGATGCCATCCTGCTCTATCTTCTGCCGGAGACAGAAGTAAGTGTGCCAGTTAGGACTGTTGTGGTATTATAACAACTAGAAGGTTTTTTCATATCCAAACTATGCTGTTAAGGGTAATGGAAGCATTTAGCTTTTAAACTTTAAAAGTGGTTACTAGCAAAGATTAAGAATTACTTATTAAATGTTGCTATTGCCATTAAGTGTTTTAAATCCCCGCTACAGCTGGCCAGCTCAGCTGGAAGCTGAAGAGAGAGGGTAGGCTATAGACACATAATCACTCTGTCTTGACTTCATCCCTCATGAGGAATAACAGTGCTAGGAACACCAGAAGCATGCCCTCTCTGCACTTCATTTGCCTTTGCCACTAGCATTCAGCCAGGGGTCAAAAGCAGTGATGGTCTTTATGTTCCCTCTACATAATCTACAGCACAACCCCACATTTAGTATTGATATATACAAAAATACATTTTTAATTTAATCCAATTTCACTCCACTGGAATTTTCTGTGTTTGAGTTGGATCCAGTGGTTTGGGCTATGTGCCAAATTCTCTGCTTGCAGAAATGGTTCTGGTTCCACCAAAGGCAGTACCAATTTATACTGGCAGAGATTCAGCCTTACCTTTTCCCCTTATTTATGCCTGCCTCTTTCTTTAAACAGTATCTCACTGAATACACTTAACTTCAAGATATATATGTTCCTTCCTAGTACGTTGTTTTGACCAGAGCCAAGAGGGAATACAAATCAAATGATGCTGTTTTAATTAGTGATGGGCTGAATGATTAAGAACACATTTAGAGTGAGCATAAAACTCAAATCTCTCTACTGCTCAGGGGAAAAATCTTTTCATTAACATTTTGACCAATGTCTAACAAATGACCTATTTAGATAAAAATGGAAACGGTAATTTTGTGTTAATGGTAAGCATGCCACTGTTTTCCACAGCAGACATGATTTGGCTTCAGATGTTCAGTTAATACAAACACCATAGTATAAAGCACTGATTTTATTAACAGAAATTGGATTTTTTAATGCAGATTCTAACTTTTGCTGTTAAATTATACAAAGCAAGAGGTTTTTCTCCCTTTCTCACCCAACTTTAAAGTACTTGCTGAATATTTCTTCTGAAAGGCTCAATGAGATACATTTAAGAACAAGAGAAGAACAGAGCAAAGGTTCTCAGTTTCAAGAAAAAAGGGTAAAAAGTAACTATAGCAATGGACAAGCATAAGATATATGACAGTTATACAGGATATCATGTCACACCTGCTGATGTTTAAGATCAGAATTTTTTCTTTATTTCTTTTT